GAGGTGATCTTTTCTTACGTCATGCCTATTAACAACCTTGCTTGTGCCAGGTCATCACCTGACCCAGGACTCGGCTAAGGGAACTGCCACCAAGCAGCCAAGCCCATTGGAGCTCAGGCTCCAATGAGTAAGATGTGATGGGTTACCCCTCTCAGATAACTACTCTCTCCATTTGATCTGTATAACGTCCACAGCTGTGGCTCTTTGTTATTTCTGTTTTGTTCTGTGTCCCCCTGAGTAGTTATGCTTTTTTCTTTAAATTTGGCCCTGAACTTTTAAAAGTCTATTCCCAGATATTAACCTTGTTGTTGCTGTTGTTATAGTGAAGAGATATTATATCATATTTTCTGATGATTTTTAGCACATGAAATAGCTAAATAAGTAACAGTAAATAGTAAAACAAGTCTGTTTTACTGGCCGTCTTTTGGAACTTACTTATGGTAAGTTCCATTTTTGTCACTTGGATTTTTAGGAAGAGAAAGCGTGAATCAGAAAACAATTATAATTTTGTCTTCTACAGTCTAGTATCTCTACCCTGTACTTCCTTTTGCAGTCCTATTGTGAACGTGGATATCCTTAAAATGGATCTCTATTATGTGAAGCCTTACTCTACAGACCCCAGGAGTAGTCCATGCTCTTTTTTAAAAGGTGAAGCCATATAAATAAAGCAGCAACTTTCAATCTGCAAAGTCATTTGCTGACGTCATTTCTGTGACTCAGATTCAATCTCTGTAAACTGGAAATGAAAATTTCTAATGTTCTTTCACAGGATTATTGGGTAAGTAAAACAAAATAATGTATATAGTTTTGTTTAACACAATTACCAAAATGTCCATTCTATGGGAAAGATGTGACGTGTGAGGAATACTAAAATGACACTGTTGAATAGATGTCATTAACATGGCAACAGAGATCATTCCTGACTTCAGTCCCCTTCACAAGAGGACTGGCTAGCCACTCTCCATGGACGAGACATCACTGCGAAAATCCCAGATCCTGGGGACGATGCCAAAGCAGACCCTGGGCCACAGAGACCAAGAAGAACACAATACCAGGGGTTAAGAGGAGCAGCTATGCTGTGACCCTAAGTCCACTCCCCAAGGCAGGCACAGCACTGCCCCTAGAGGGCCCCAGGGACCTAGGGCTTCCTCCTGTGGCAAAAGAGAGTCCGAGGTGGACATCCAGCTCCACCAATGTTGCAGGGCACTTCCCAGGAGGCCCACTAGGTTCTCACTTCATGGGGATCACTGGAGGCATCTGCAAGGCTCAGCCATGGAGGATCAGATCACGACGGAGAAGGGGGCTGGACTTACACTGAGATCTGGGTGGACCACATTCCTGCTAGCAGTGGTGCCAAAGCAAGGATCCCAGCCAATGCCTCTGCCCATCTGTCTGGCTAGGGAGCTCAGTGGGCAGGTCTGCCTGATGTGACCCCAGGCAATGGCTTGTACTGGCCTGGGAGCCTCTAGTACTGGCACACCTGGGGAAGGAAACAAATCCACAGCTTGGCTCAACTGTTGGACAACTGCCTCCAGTCCGGCCAGGCCAGAAAGCCTGGTGTGAGGACCCGGGCAGCTGTGGGGCCCATCCTGCAGCCCAACATAGCAGAAGCCAAGCCAGTAGCCTTGTTTAACAGTTGAGCATAGCCTCTGGCCCCTAGACAGTGACCCTGAGCAGCCTCAGAGCTCAGGCTATGGCCCTGCCCAATGGCTGAACACAGCCCAAGGCTTTGCCCAGGCAATAACCCTGGCCCATCATGGAGCATAGTCTATGACCCCAGCCACAGTGGGGTCTTGGATGGCAACCCTGCCCTACTGTACAGAAAAGTCTCTAGCTCCACCTGACTGTGGGATAAAGTTGGAAACCCTCCTGACCAAAGAGCTCAACCAACAAAGTTACCCAACAGTAGATCATAACCGTAGTTTACCTGATTGCAAAGCCCAGACTGTGGCCCTGCCCAACTTTGGGGCTATAGCCTGTGAATGGGCCTAATCACACAGGCCCTGTCCAACCATGAAACCCTGCCCATCGTCCTGCCTGAACACACAGGTCAGCCAGCAGCACCTTCCAGGTGGTAAGAACAGCCTGAGACCCAACCAGATAAGGAGAGTTTGAAGATTTCATTGTTTTTGCTTTTCCAGGTTCATTGTATTTCCATATAAATTTCCTAATCAGATCGTCAATTCCTACAAAAAAAAAAAAAAATCTGCTGGAATTTTTATTGACATTGCATTTAATTTGTAGGTAAATTTTAGGGAATGTTCATCCTATCTATATTTCCTCTTTCTATCCGTGAGCACAGCATACCCTTCCTCTATTTATTTGCCTTTTAATTTTTCTTGGTATTGTTTTTATGTACAGGTCTTGTGTTTCTACCATTAAATTTATCCTTTGGTATTTTGTATTATTTGATGTTTTGTATATGGTATCGTTATTCTGAATTTCATTTCCCAATTCTCCATTGCTAGCATTAGAAATATAAATTTGGAAAAGAAGACTCACACTGGAAGATGGACACTATCTGATCTCAGGACTTATTAAGACTTAAGACTAATTAATGTAGATTAAATGTGATATTTGCATGAGAACAGTGAAATCCATTACTGGAATAGAACAGCAATTCCACAACTAGATCCACATACACATGGTCAGCTGAGGTTTGCAAAGGTTCCAAAGAAATTCATTAAGAAATAGAAAGTGTTGGGGTGCCTGCGTGGCTCAGTGGGTTAAGCCTCTGCCTTCGGCTCAGGTCATGATCTCAGGGTCCTGGGATCGAGCCCAGCATCGGGCTCTCTGCTCCATGGAGAGCTGCTTCCCCCTCTCTCTGCCTGCCTCTCTGCCTACTTGTGATCGCTGTCTGTCAAGTAAATAAATAAAATCTTAAAAAAAAAAAGAAATAGTGGTTTCAATAGATCATGAATGGAACATCTAGATAACCTTAATCTTTATCTCATACCATAGACGAAAATTAAACCAGTCATGATGGGTCTTATGCCTATATATAATAAATAAAACTATAAAGGTTAAAGAAGAAAATACAGAATGGTATCTTTGCAACCTGGGGTAGGCAAAAATTTCTATGATGGAATACAAAACTCACAGTTTAGGCTTCATCAACATGAAAAACTTCCATTCATTAAAAAGTGCCATAAAAACATGAATAGTAAAGCCAGAGTGGAAGAGGATATTTGCAAAGGTTGTATCTAACAATGGACCTTATCTAGGATGCAGGGATATTCCTACAAGTCATTAATAAAAAGACAATCAAACCAATGAAAAGATGAGAAAGAACTTCATCAGCCTTTTATGAAGAAATAAGTAAATGGGCAATAAGATGTGAAAATCTCTCATTGTCAACAGTCATCAGGGAAACAAATGGTAAGTCCAGGGAGAGGTTACCACACACCCTCTAGAATGGCTAATATTAAAACAACTGATATTATGAAATATTAGTAAGGATGTGGAGCATCCAGAAGTCTCATGAGTTGGGGATGGGAAGGAAAATCAGTTCATTATTTTGGCAAACTGTCTGCAAATCTCATATAAATTTATATATACATTTACCATATGACCCAGTAATTCTACTCCTATATAGTTACCCAAGAGAAATGAAAACATAAACATGTGATAGATACAAAGAATATAATGTATATTATACATCATACATATATATTATATATATATGTATGTATATATATATTGCTATATACTAAGTTAATTTTATCACATTTTAACCCAAATTGTTACTTTGTATTACAGACACTGCCCAAGTCCATCAGCATCCTGCATAACTTTGCTTAGATTTACAGTGAAGAAAATAACTAATATCACAAAAGATATAGTAATAGCATATTAACATGCAATCCACACAACAGTTTTCCATAAGATCAACAGAATCCTGTTTATCTAGCTTGTAACGGAATAGTCTTTGTACAAAAGCTTATCAGTTAACCGAATGGCAAATAAGTATTATTCCATATTTTAGCATCATTGTTGCCCAGGTTTTAGTAAAGGCTTAGATGGTGAGGCTGGCCTGGAGTTCTGGAAGAAAGGTTTCCTTCACCAATTAAGGACGGCTGCTATGGGTACCAGTCCAGGCACAGGGCAGACAAGCATGCTTGATGGTAGCATTTGCCCTCCCAGACTTAGATAGTTAAAATTTAGGAAGTAACTCAAGTTCAAGTGCAGAACAGTAGAAATACACTTCGCAGAGTGTCACCTTTCTTTGATGATTCAAAACTTTATTAGTTCATTCATTTATTTCTTTTTACTTTTGAGAGAGAGAAACAGGAGCAGGCATGGGGTGGGTTGGGAGGGGCAGAGGGAGAGGAATGGGGAGAATTTTAAGCATCGCTTAAATTTTAACATGCCCAGCGTGGAGCCAGATGCAGGGCTTGATCTCACGACCCTGAGCTCATGTCCTGAGCTGAAATCAAGAGCTGGCTGGTTAGCTGACTGAACAGAGAGGCACTCCTCAAAGAAACTTTAAAATATTATAAGACAACAGGCCCATCATCATGAACGTCAGTCGTGGACCCACTACATTTTTTTTGTTTTGCTGGGTTCTGGGTAAGCAAACATTGACTGTGGATCAAATGGCTGTGTGATTTAATAAAATCACCTTTAAAATGGAGAGAGTATATACAGAGGGAATTTTACTATTATTTTATAGAGGGAATTTTATTATTTTACAGGGGGAATTTTATTATTATAAAATAACTATTTTATTATTTTTTTAAGATTTTATTTATTTATTTGACAGAGAAAGAGAGCTAGAGAGAACACAAGCGGGGATGGGGGAGAGGGAGAAGCAAGGCTTCCCACGGAGCAGGGAGCCCAATCTGGGATTCGATCCCAGAACCTGAGCTGAAGACAGACGCTTAACGACTGAGCCACCCAGGCGCCCCCACCCCCACTATTTTAGACGGCACCTGGCCCTCATGACTTTTCAGTAACATGAGGCAAGACTTCTCTAGGAGATTGGCACCCTAACAGTCGAAGTGAATCCCTGGACATCACTCCAAGCCTTAATGAGCATTACTTTATCTTCCAGGAACAGCAGGAGAATAACTTTCTTACTCCCCACATTTGCCGCTGTCTGTTCCAGATGTTAGGGGCCACTCAGCAGGATTCTGGCAGCTCCACACATTTCTTAACAGATAGTTCTGCTTTCACTGCCTTAGGAAAAAAAAAAATGATTTGGCAAGTGTACAATGCCATCTTTTTCAAAGAAAATAAGAAGGAAAAATGACCTGTGTATTTACGAAGCTGGTGGTTACAATTTTCATCATCTTTGCTCCGTTTTCAGGACCATAGATCGCCAGGGAGGGAAAAGAAAAAAGGGGCCGAATCCACAAAGCCACAACAAAAATCCAGCGTTTGGTGTTCTGACGTCAACCATCAGATGTAAAACCGTACTTCTGTAGTGCTCCTCGGGGAGAAATCAGAGCGAGCTTGCTTATCGAGAGGAACCACATGCCTCCCGTAATGATGCTTGCTTTCTCAGAATGTTATTTCACTTTTCTTTTCAGAAATGCATCCCAGTACAGACCCGGGTTTGACGCATTAATAAGATCTCACCTCCTTTCCCTCTCTCTTCTCCACCTGGCTCACTATCTCGGACGGAAATTACAGAAGGAAACTTCTCTCATACAGTGCTTTGTGCCGTGCCACGAAGCTGCTGAAGAATGAGCAAACTTTGCTCTATTTAAAAGTCCTGACTGTGAAAGATCTAGGTAAACCTTCTCAGTAGGGTTGCCCTGGAGAAGACACACAAACTCAAAGGACATGCCAGCTGCTTATGGACTTGCTTCTGACACTGGTTGAACCCAAGATGAACCATGGATTCAATGTGGGGCTCTAGAATCCGGGACCCTGGGGTCAAAGCCCGGCTCTGGCACATCAGCCATGTGAGCTAATCTGAAGTTCCTTCCTCGGGGGGTTAGGAATTCTCTATGGCTGCCTTATAGGGTTGTCACAAGGAGTAAAGAAGATCGTGCCTGGGAAATGTGGGCACAGTGCCTGGGCCAGCATCAACCATTTCAGAAACTGAGCAAGTTATTTCTCTTTTTAGGGCTTCATTCTGTGTGTGTGTGTGTGTGTGTGTGTGTGTGTGTATACATGTGCATGTGTAGTGTTACTTTTCTTTCTTTTTTTTTAAATTTTATTTATTTATTTGACACAGAGAGAGAGATCACAAGTAGGCAGAGAGGCAGGCGGGGGGAGGGGAGCAGGCTCCCCGCTGAACAGAGAGCCCGATGTGGGGCTCGATCCCAGGACCCTGAGATCATGACCTGAGCTGAAGGTAGAGGCTTTAACCCACTGAGCCACCCAGGCGCCCCAGTAATGTTACTTTTCATATGAGCCCTGAACACCTTAGTGATAGTGGCAAACCTCTTAATGGCTAGAAAGCTTGGGGATATGAGGCTCCCAAGATCTTCAACTAAAATGAGCTCCTCTTTTGTGATTCTGCAAGCTAGGCTTCTCCTGAAGATTCCTTCTGAGGAATACTCTGTTGTTTTAAAAGTAGGTGGCAGAGGGCGGGGAGGGAGGTGGGGTGCTTACAAATCCAAAGTCCGTGTTTTCTCCCTGCTTGATCCTGCCACTCATGCCTTTCAAGGCTGACTGCAGACCTACTGTGTCCTGCCCTCCATGGCAGGCACTGTCTCTGAAGTGGCTGGCCCCCAGCCTAGTTCTCACCCAGGTCACACCCAACCGAGGAAACAAAGAAACTGAGAATTTCACCGTGAATGTGTGGAATGGGCCACTAGAAGGAAGGGATACGTCTGATTAAGAAAATTCAGGACAAATTCATGGTCAAGGTAACATGATAATTGTCTGTTATTAATCATGATGAATAATAGCAATCACTGAGGGCTAACCATGGGCCAGACATCGAGCTTGGTGAGTTACATGAATTAGCCTCTTTAATTCTCCCAACACCTCATCACCCGCCCCATTTTAAGAATTAAGAGAGGGGAAGGGTACCGGGGTAGCTCAGTTGGTTAAGCATCCAACTCTTGACTTTGGCTCAGATCATGGTCTTGGGGTCGTGAGATCAGGCTTTGCATTGGGCTCCACACTGAGCATGGGGCCTGCTTAGGATTGTCTCTCTCCCTCCCCATCTTCCTCTGCCCCTTCCCCCTCCACCCTGGCTAGTGTACTCTAAATAAATAAATAAATAAATAAATAAATAAATAAATAAATAAGACTTAAGAAAGGGGGTGGTTACCACTGCCGTCAGTGGTGAGTTAGGTTGCTGGCACTAAGTCTGGGTGGGTCTTTCCTTGGGTATACCATCCCCCTAAGGCAGTCTGACTTGCCACAGTAAAGACCAGATTTTATCAACTCTAAATGCATATTTTCTTCCCATTTTATAGCTTCAAAATTGGGATGCAGCTTATATCCAATAGCATGCCACTGATTTCCTGGCAACATTCCTTCTTTCCTGGTGGCACAGAAATAATGGTGCATCACAGATGTCAAAGGCATCTCAGATTTGATGAAGTGTGATGACATGTTGGTAGGAAGCTCAGGAGGTAGGACAGCCCAGACAGACGAACCGGAGTGTGCAAGGAGTGCAGAGGCATGCGCACCAGCACGCTGCTCTCGAGGAAGAGGAATCGACTGAGGGTATTGGCGGACATGGCAAGAGCTGAAACCATAAATGCAGAATTGGGGGGCAACAGGGCTTCCTGACAAGCCCTGCTGCTTCCCGGAAGGAAACAGGAAGTACAGGGGACATTTTTCGTCGTCCCGGTAATGGGGTTCCTATCAGCTTTTAGTGAAGACCCAGGGCAGGCAGCTTGAGAGGCCAGTGTCTTGCAATGCATGCTATGGTCCTGCCCATGGAAGCGCCGTCGCACCTTCTGCCTCCTTTTCAGCCACGCCTCACAGTGAACCAAACACCTGCTCACCACGAGCTGAGCCTAGAACCTGAACGCCAGTTACAAAGGAACACAACGGTGTGGTGACTTTCACAAATGTGCAGCTACTATGTAAATTAGTGGAGGTCTCCACTTTGTCTGGAGAGATCTTGACCACCTTGTTCTCTTTTTCCAGACCCCATGCTGGATAGCTGTGTGGGTCACGGGGTTTGAATGGCTGTCCATACGCCTGGATCAGCCCGGACCAGAAGCTGCTGCCAAACCCATGACGCTCCCATCTGTGGCACAAGCACTAAGAGATTTCACTGGGACGTCCAGTGTAGTTAAGTTCAAGTATTTGTGTTGTAAAAAATACCTATTATTGTAATTTACTTCGCTTTTATGTCTTTTTAAATGATAGTTACCGCATTATATCTTATGTGTATAATTGCGTTATATTACTTACGAATTTAATTTCATAATTTAAAATAGTTTACAAATATTTGTTATGAAAAGGTGGAGAGGGACTCGGATCTGCATGGCTGCAAACCACCGGTGAGATGCTTGACACAGTTTCAGATCTGAGGCGCAATGAGAAGGAATCAGAGAAATTTGGGCAGATTTTGGAAATCTTGAAAAATACAGGAAAAATGTTAGGAATAAAATATGAATCATCCATAAACTAATCGCTCAGAAATAAGCACTGTTAATTTTTTTATCCCTCTTTACCTACCCACGTATGGTTTTTTTTTTTTTTGTTTAAGTTGGGATTATATTGTTTTTAGAATTCTTTCCTACATGATGATCAATTATTAATTATTAATTATGATCCTGCATGCTATTAATTATTCTTTTAAAACACCTCTTTCAGGGGCTGCATAATATTTCATCAAAAGTAATTCTACCTATTTCCTTCAGGACACACTAGCAGAGCTGGTTGATCTCCCACTATGTTTTGTAAATAGTATATAACAGCAGGGGGTGCCTGGGTGGCTCGTCAGTTAAGCGTCTGCCTTTGGCTTCCAGTCATGATGCCAGCGTCTCTGAATCAAGTCCCACATCCGGTTCCCCGCTCAGTGGGAAGTCTGCTTCTCCCTCTTCTCCCAGCTTCTTGTCTCTCACACGTGTACTCTCTTTGTCTCTCTCAAATAAATAAATAAAATATTTGAAAAAATAGTATATAATAGCAGGATTGTAGTGATGAAAGGAACTTTATAATTTGCCAGATTGGGGGCGCCTGACTCTTGACTTTGGCTCAGGTCATGATCTCAGGGTCTGGAGACTGAGCCCCAAGTTGGGCTCCCCATTCAGCTGGGAGTCCACTGGAGATTCTCTCCCTCTCCTTCCACACCTCACCCCCCTCTCATGTGCACCCTCTCTCATTCTCTCTTTCTTGATCTCTCTAAAAATAATAAGTGAATAAATCTTAGAATTTACCAGATTAATCTCCATACAATAAAGGAGAGAAAACCAAATTAATCTCCATACAATAAAGGAGCAGAGAGAGTAAGTCACAGAGGCACACAGCAAGAACCAGAAGCCTGGTCTTTATTCTCCAACTAATGTTTTCTTGGTATTATTCTGAAGCTGCCTTCTCCGGTGCTCCCTCCTTAATGAACTGACCCATGACTAGCATCTCTGTGCTATATTTAATCACTTGTTGTAACGATCGATTTGGCCCTCAACACAAACAAAAGCTGGACGTTCAACGGGCTGCGCCGCTGAGAGGCGATGCTTTCTGCATTGGGAGCGGAACATACACAGATAAATAAGCAACATCTCTCATTCTCAGTGCCCAGCAGCCACAGCAGGAATTCTTCACAGGCGAGACCGAAATACTGCATGATTCCAAGAAAGTTTTATTACCAGAAACATATGGGAGGATCGATTTAATGCCAGATCATTTTACGCTATAATAAAGATGATAACAGCTTGACTTCAGACATGATATGTAAGCACATGGCTCTTCAAATTACAGTCGGAGTACGTGTTCAGTGTAACGTAACCCATTATGCACATATAGAATGCAGATTTGGAGCAAAGAGCCTCTATGCCATTGAATTTACATGTGGGATATGGACTTGCTGTCCATTCTGCAGATACAAAATAAGCCTGTTCTGGAAATGGTCAAGGGAGGTTCTCAGTAAGGGATAAAACTACATAGTCCAGGTTACATGTGGGGAGCTGGGTAAGGGGAAGAGGTAGAGAATGGGCCAAAGGAGGATAGCAGTTAGCATTAGTCTTAGGAAAAAGTGAGAATGGTGCTCCTGGCAAGGGAAATCAATCAGCCATAAAAAGTCTGGGGCATTGATT